CCTATTCCATATTCATTGCATTATTAGTTACTAGTGAGATAAAATTCTTACTACCAATTTCTTTAATTATCTTGATCAGCTCAGATGCGATATAATCACCAGTGTGGGAACTAAATACTGTATCAATGGATTTAAGGAAAATGGGTTCTGGAGTCATAATTATGAAATTTAAATTATAAATTTTTGAATTAAATATTATATTTTATAAAATATAAATCATAATTTCTGCAATAAAATATTATATTTATATTAGAGATCTGCAAAGTTAGGCCCGGCCCGTACCCGGCCCGAACGGGCTTTGGGCCGGGCCTAATTATATTTAAAATATTCGGGTTCGGGCCGGGCCTAATATTTTAAAAAAAATTCGGGCCGGGTCAGGTCGGACCTTGGAAATTTTTTTAAATATATCTAAATTTATCAATTTTATATTGAATTTTTTATGTAAAATAAAAATATTTGATTTTATTTATTGAAACTAAACGACATATAACATATGTCTTTTATTTTGAGTAATTATAAAAATTAATTTCTATATTTAAATAAATTCGGGCCGGGCCACCCGATGCAGATAACTAATTTATATTAAGAGAAAATTCGGGAAATTTCCTACCTTTACATCTCTAAACATACTTATATATTATTATTTGCAGATCACAAACCGAAAATCGTAATGCCAATAGCAAAAAGCCTAGTTTCACATAAAATATTTTTCACCATCCTATTTTGAACCAGAGTCATAATGACTCTGTGGACATTTTCCTTCAGGAAAATGATTTCTATGCTATCATTATCATTTACTATTAAATTTGCTTCAATTTTATTTCTAAAAAATGATGCCAAGTTTAAAGTAGGCCTTTTGTGCAGATAGAAATTCAACTGTTTCTTTAAATTTTTAAAGAAAAAATAGTTCTTCTACTAGATTTGATTCATAGTTTGAGATAGTCTTCCCTAATTCTTTTCAAAACGTGATTAATTAAATTTTTATTTGCTCCAAAATAATTACACAAATGTAATTAATATAATATAGTTGGGAAATTTTATTTTAAAATTCTCATGTGTGGCATTATGTTATTAAAATCGCAAATTTGAAATAGGGTATCAGAGTAGCTTATCCAGTGCTATCTAAACCTAGCATATCCATATTAGATCTATTATATTAAGGCATTTTCTTTGCTCGCTCTAGCAACTCAAATTCAATCTCTGCAGTTACATATCTCATAGAAGTAACCATTTTTCTTATTCTTTTGATAAGATTTTCACTAAAAGGTATTTTACCATCCATTGTAACCAAATTATGTAAGCCATGACCAAATCACAAGTGGTGTTCATATTCACCTAATCACACACTTTCTTATTAGGTTTCCCTTTTAAAAATATGTAAAATTATGGTAACTTTTAGAATTTTAAATTGATTGAATTATAAAATGATGCCAAAATAATTGATATTAAAATATGTATAAAATAAGAATTCGTCAAAATTCTGATTGATATTAAAAACTTATAACAGTGATAACTATCAATTATTAGAAAAAAATGCAATTTTTGTGCAGCCATGCACCAAGCTAGCGTAATTTTCATAAATGGTGGCGTTTTGGGCGTGGCCAAAAATATTGGTGGCCAGCCTTTTAATTTAGATTTATCTTAATGGTTCAATAAAAAATATGCAGAAAAAATATTATATTTCAATAATAAAATTCTACTTTCGAGTTTTTTAAAAAAAAAAATAAGGACAACTTTGGGATCCCATATAAATATATTTTCGTATTTTGACCCCAGATTCATGGTAATAGTTAAAAATGCTTGAATTATTTTTATTTTCTAAAGATTTAATGAATTTATGTTCACAAAAATAAATTGATCTTCGACTTATTCTGAACCTCCAGGTAAGAGGCATGTATGGGCTGCTCCAACCCCTTAAAAAGCCATGTGTTTGGTCAAGTAGCCCATAGAAATAAACTAATGTTGGACCATAGAGCTTGTAAAAATAAGCTATGGGATAGGCCAAGTTTCAATTTCAATTTTCGCTTCTTTTGAAAATTTTTAGGCCATGTTTAAGTTACTATTTATTTAAAATTTGTTGAATTTCTATTGGTATATATTTATTTTAATATATATTAAATATATTATCGAAATGATTAATTTTTATATGCACTGTGCTTTGATTTTAGAACAATAAACAGGCCTAACTTCTGGCTTGAAAAATATTAATGTTATATTTACCTCATTTTTTTTTCTTGCCTGATAGAATGCCACAATTATAAAATAAATTTAAAAAATAAAAAAAATTTAAAAATCAGAGCATGAGATATATTTATTGTTCATTTTAATATTTTATTTTGTAATAAATAAACATTATTAGATCATCAAAGATAATGCTAATGGTATTTAAATGTAATGCATAACATTTAAATAGAGAATAAAATTAATATTTTAAGTTCAAATTTCTTCCCTATAAAATTTTTTCTTAATTAGTGATTAGCCTATATATAAAAAAAATGCCACCAGCAAGAAACAAGCTAGAAAAAGTGAAGGAATAATGGCCTGATTTTTGTCCTACATATTTTAAGAAGAGGTGCAATTTTTTAAAAATTTCCCTAATTCTGTAAATTCTTATTGCAGGAAATTTAAAACAAGGATATACCAATACCAATATGATACTAAGGTGATTCATAACTTTACCTTTACACATTTGACTAATTCTACCCAAGTCTTAGTTTAAATTGCTTTTTTGTTATTAATTTATTTTGTCATATGGGTCATTCCACATCAAATTGACCAAAAAAACGAGATTTTCGGACGACCATCTTTAAAATGAACGAAACTTGGCATGATAGTTATTTATGTTATATATATTAATAAAATCAAAATTTTAGAGTGCTAGCTCAATTAGATCCATAGATATACGCCTTCAAAGTCGAAAATCGTGAAGTGCGTGATTTCATTAAATCTAGTTTTTTTTAAATACTTAGATAGAGTTACTAATTATATATCATTTTATAGCCCTTAAAATTTTACATTGGAAAATATCGAAAAAAAAATTAAAAAAAAGTGTTTTCTTATTTCCGGTATAAATAAAAAATTAACATTGTTAGTAAGGGATTTTTTGGGGGTGTTGATATTCTCTAAAAATGTTTATTACCTTTATATTAAACGATTTAATAAAAAATCTCGATAGCTACTTTTGTTTTTTAATTTTATTTAAATTTTAATTACTTATATAAATAAAAAAAAAGGTAATATAGATGGCGTTATATTCAAAAATTATTATAATATAATATTTTTAATACAAATATATATTGGTAAAATCGATTAAGTATAAGAAATATGATGTCCTGGGGCAATAAGTAAGGAAGCAGTAGGCAGCCCATACAGATATGATTATTATTAAGATGCTCTATTGTAAAATAAACATTTTAAAATTTTTTTATTCAAACTACCATAAAAACATCTCTTATTTTTATCGTATTCCATAATAGAAATTCTGGAGGCCATAGTTTGTAGATATATCCTTTCACTTGTGTATATACTATCGTTATTTTTATGATGAATCAATTCAGCAAAAATCCAAGTAAAATATATTACTGCTCTGACGTAATGGCTGCACAATATAAAAACAAAATTTTTTATAAATCTGTTATCATGAATCAAATTTTGGTGTAGGAGCTGAATGACATTTTTTAATTACATCTAATGGAAAAGGTCCCTGTGATGGCCTTGGCAGAACATTAAAAGATTAACAGCACATTCAAACCTTCAGCGCACCAGTTCTGGACACATTTTAACACCAGTTTTATATCAGTTTGTCAAACAAAACATGCCATCAGTAAATTTTACATATATAACCAACAAACAATAAAATTTAGAAGAGATTAAACTACTTGAAAGATTCAATTTAGCTTGCCCTATTCGAGGAACTCAGAAAATACATGCTGTATTTCCTTTGAGTTTTAAGTAAACTTAAATAAAAAATATATTCATATGAAGAGGACTTTCAAATTAACAATATTTTAAATGCCGATAATTTTTTTTGTTGATATTAAAGGATTCGTAACATGTGTTTATGATGATTTTTAGTGGTTAGCCACAGTACTAAAAAAGAATGAAATTACTGAGGGGATATATATTTCCTTTTTACATCCCATGAACCATCACCATCCTTTTTTTACTCCATAATTGAGGAAAAGATATGGTTGCCCATTAATCAAATAATAACGATTATAGATCCCATAACAGAGACAGGACGTACCTACAAACGCATCAGCACAAAATGGGATAAAATTAAAACAAGTGGTTTTTTATAATTGTTTGTATATAAAAACTTAAAATATGTTTATTTTAAAATATATTGTCCTAATAACCATATCTGTATGGGCAGCTTCCTTATTTATTGTCCCAGGATATCATATTGGTTATATTTAATCGATATATTTAATTTTAATATAATACATATTTTTATTAAATATATCATATTATAGAATCTTTTTTAATATAACGCCATCTATATTACATTTCTTTATTTATATAAATAATAAAATTTTAAAAAAATGGCGATCGAGATTTTTTATTAAATCGTTTAATATAAAGGTAATAAACATTTTTAGAGAATATCAACACCCAAAAAAATCTCTTCCTAACAATGTTAACTTTATTTTCCCCAAAATAAGAAAACACTTAGAATTTTTTAATTATTTTTCGATATTTTCCAATGTATAATTTTAAGGGCTATAAAACGATATATAATTTGTAACTCTATCTTAAGCCTTTTTAAAAAAACTAGATTTAATAAAATCACACCACGATTTTTATCTTTGGATCTGATTGAGCTAGCACTCTAAAATTTTGATCTAAGTTTCATTCATTTTTGAGATGGTCGGCCGAATCACTTAGTAGCACCTTTGTTGATAAAGTATTGGTGCTTGGTGCATCTTTTCCCTAAAATAAGGCTTATTTATAATTGATGTAAAATAATGTTTGAATATTTTGATAAAATATTAAATAACCTTTTCAATTTCTTTTTCAATTTTATCCCAATTTTTAGGACCTCTGGTAGTAGAAGATGGATAATTATGAGCTAATAAAGTTTTAAATAAAAAATTTACACAATTATAAAGAGAGCTAACATTTAATGAACATGAAAAAAATAATAAAGAAGCATTCAATAGTAGATATTTAACAAATATTAATATATTTAATACTTATTGAAGTAATATCTGATATATTCTCTTTCTCTAATTTTGACCAATGTGATTCTTCAGACTTTTTTAATTTAATTTCAATCTTAAATGATATTATAATTTTTTGAAGTTATTTTAAAAACTTTTGTAGGATATATCTTCCAGGAGGAGTTTAATACATCTATTAATGACTGTAAAATAATTTTAAGTTCCTCTTTAAATTCATAAATAACTGTAACCTTATATATATTTTAAATACTCAAACATTAATAACATATTTTTTACTTGATCAGGATTTATTATAATGTTTACATTATCTGAATTCATATTTTTTAATAAAAGGTCAATAACTATTAACTCTTCTGTTTGAAACCAATTATATCTAAAAAAAATAAGAATATACTAATACATAGAGCAAAAAACTTTATTTTATTGTTCATTATCATATTTAGAGATCTAAGGAATATACTGCGATGAATAAGAAATAGGAGATGAGTAACATGTGACATCTGCCAAATATAATTAATTTTCGATTTAAATTATTTTTTGAATAGTAATTTTTATAAAAACAAAAACTAAATATAAAAGAATTATTATTAAATAAATAGTAATTTTAAAATAATGAACAAATAAATAAAATATTTAAAAATAATACGCGAGTGTCATAAATGAGGATTTAAACCTCTCCATATAAATATTTTGTGTAGAAAATGTTGTTTTCTCATAATACTTATTATTAATTTCTAAAAAGAAGAATTGCGACGGGGAGGATAAAAGTAATTATGAGTATATTGGAAAATAAAATGGAAAAATGTAGAATAATACTGTTTTATTACATCCATCATGATCAAGTGATTTCTGGTTTATAAATGTAATAAAAAGACCCCCCCCCCCCCACTTAATATTTAATTTAATATAAGTTGACGGAAATTTTGGTCGTTGTAATTAGGTTGTTCTCCAAGATTTCTTGTCATAAATTATTTTTCCAATTTTAAAATATGCCTAAAAATATTTACCAAAAAAATACAAATGCCTAATTAAAAATTGCAAATCGCATAATAAAAAAGATGATAAATGGATAGATCACATTAGAAAAAGACATGGTGGGCTTAATTTTAACGATATAAAGAAAAGCTTTGAAATAGTAGCTTTTAAGAATGTTACTTAAAATTAGACAAATAGCAAAGTAATTTTTTTATTAAATATTTAATTATTTATACTTATCTTATTATAAAGGGTATTAAATCGCAATATTAGAAAAGAGAAGTAAGAATTGGGAATTAAATGCTGAAGGTATAATAAATATTTTTAATTAATAATATTATCTTTTAAAAGTGTCCTATAATAATAAAGAAAATGTGTTAGAAGGAAATATAGTATCTGATGATTCTGATAATGATCATGAAATTATTGAACCTGAGGTTATTTAATTACTCTTATTTTTTATCTCTGCTATATTTTTTATAGGCAGACAGAGCAGAGATTTGATAAAGTGGAACAAGAAATTCCTATTATCTCTCTACTGGTAATAAATTTTAATGAATACAACATATGCAGTTTAACGAAAGATTTAATGTTGATTAGATGAAATTTTTAAATTAAACATCATTTTTTACGCCAAAGGGAATGGCAGAAAAATCAATTATTAAAGAAGATATCGAGAATATCTGTGAATTTTACAATTTAAATTCAAGTCAAATTTTCTAAGAAATGTTGAAGTTTAGAAATATTTATAAGATGGCCAAAATGGGGAATGTAATTATTACTCATGACCTAGAAGTTGAAGAATCTAAAGATTTGTCAGATTCTGAGAATTGTAAATTTATTTAATTAAAATATTTTTACCAATACATTATTTAGCTTCTTCTGATGATGATGATAATTCAGTGACTTACGATTCAGATTGGAAAAACTATTCATTTATTTTACGTTATCGTCTACTTGTAAATTTTTCTGCTTTCCCTAATTTAAGAATTTTATATAAATATTTATTAACCATTCCTACAACCTCATGTACTGCCGAAAGAGTCATGAATAAATTTGAATTAATTAAAACAAGACTTCGTAGTTCCATGAAAGATTTATTTCTCAATAATTTAACCAGATGGAAAAAAATTTATCTAAACAATTAAATATTAATATAATTATAAATTCTTTCGCTTTTTCTTCCCCTAATTTATCTAAATTATTAATTTAAAAATAATATTTATAAAAATATATTTTTTGCATTTTATCTATATTATAATTTTCCGATGTCCTCACTACGTCATCGTGACGTCATGTCATCGCTACGTCATGTCATCGTTACGTCATGTCATCGGTACGTATTTTTATTTGTTGATTTTATTTATTTATTTTATACAAACAGATGATTCTATAACTTAAGTTTTCTATGCAACTGTAGGAGGCCATATTAAAACCAATTGTCAAAGTAATATATATTACGAATTATTCTAGGAGTTAACTCATAGATTAATTGGTAAATCAGAGATTTATCATTCATTAATTATAAATTTAATATCTTTAGGCTTGGGAAATTTTTTTCAAAATTAATGCAACTGTAGGAGCCCATATTAAAACCAATTATCAAAGTAATACATTATTTACTAAATATTATAAATTATTAAGAAAGCTCATCAAAAATGACAGGGAATGAGATTTTTATTCATTTTTTTACGAAAGATGTCATGCCAAGTCCAAGCTCACATTATTAGGAAGCATATAATTATAAATAAGTTTATCAAGCCCAGCTCAACCCTTAATAATTTGTAAAAGATATTCCCATTAGTGATCTGCATCGGGCCTAATTTTTCTAGCCCGGCCCGGCTCGAAATTTTTTTAAAAAAGTTTTGCCGGCCCGGACCGAACCCGAAATTTTTTTAAAAAATTTTGCCGGCCCGGCCGGGCCCGAATTTATTTAAATATAGAAATTAATTTTTATAATTACTTAAAATAAAAGACAAATGTTATATTGCGTTTAGTTTCAATAAATTAAATCAAAAATTTTAATTTTACATAAAAAATTCATTATAAAATTGATAAATTTAGATATATTTAATAAAGTTTCCAAGGTCCGACCCGACCCGGCCCTAAATTTTTTTAAAAATATTAGGCCCAAGTCAGGCCGGCCGGGCCTAACTTTGCAGATTCGCATGTCCGGTGCAAGCTAATATTATTTTTGAGATTCCAAGCCCAGTCGTATCCAATATAATTTTGAAAATTTTTTCCCACCTCGGAGATAGTTAAATTTTTAATTGATTTATCTTCACCTGAAGGGGAAATATCTGATTTACCAATTAGTTTAAGATGTAAAAAAAACATTTTTGGAGTTATCTCCAATAATACGAGGTAATATTTTTTATTTCTTTTTATAATATTAGGGCAGACCTTATTTTGTCATGATTCTCTAATAAGTGCTTTGTCCAGGCTTTCTCAGTTTCCCTTATTACCAATTCACATGTTTTTTTTTGCATATATCACTAGGAGTTAATTCATAGATTAATTGGTAAATCAGAGATTTCTCATTCATTAATTATAAATTTAATATCTCTAGGCTTGGGAAATTTTATTCAAAATTAATGCAACTGTAGGAGGCCATATTAAAACCTATTGTCAAAGTAATACATTATTTAATAAATATTACAAATTATTAATATTTTATATAGAAATTCAATTTAACTGAGTTAACATATAGATTAATTGGTAAATTAGAGATTTCTCATTCATTAATTATAAATTTAATATCTCTAGGCTTGGGAAAATTTTTTCAAAATTATTATGGGTTGGACTGGGCTTAAAAAATATTTCTCAAAATTAATATTGCCTTGGTTTTCAAAAATTATTAGGGATTGAAATGTGCTTGAGAAAATCTTTTTAAATTATTAAGATGCTTGGAAATTTTTTACAAATATTGTAGTCTTGAACCTATATTGGGATTTTTTAATGTTAAATGTTAGTCTTACTTATGTTAATATTTTTATAAAGAAATATTTTTACCCGTAGACTAATTAATAAATCAGAGATTTCCCCTTCATTAATTATAAATTTAATATCTCTGGGCTTGATTTCAAAATTATTATGCTTTAGACTCGGCTTAAAAAATATTTCTCAAAATTAATATTGGCTTGCATAATTATTAGGGACTGAAATGGGCTTGAGAAAATCTTTTTAAATTATTAAAATCTTAGATGCTTGGAAATTTTTTCGTATTTTTAAGGCTATTCATTTTGTCGGGCCGCACATAAAGCGCTTTTATCTCTGATGAATATTTTGTCTAACTGAAAATTATACAAAGTACATTTTTAAAATTTAACTAAATTAATATAACAATTTTTAAAGATCCTACTTTTTTAAAAGCTTACCATTTTGTCGGATCCACCATTGCTATATTATTCCTGCTGAAAATATACATAGTACATTATTTTTATTATTATTATTTTTATATATGATTTTATATCTATTCTAAATACATTATATATTACAATATTTATTTTTATTCAATTAAAATTATATATTTATTCTTAAGGTTCCTACCTTTTTTAACAATTCTCCTTTTTATTCTTTCAATAAAAAATACTAAACGGGGTTTTCTATTTTTATGATTTTATATTTATTACAAAAAAAAATACATATTACGGTATTTATATATTATTTAAATTATTCAATACTTATTCACAAGGTTCCTATTTTTTTTAAGCTTGCCAATTGATCTCTCCGAATGGTATTTTATTTTATTCCTACCTTATAAAATTAACTTGAGAATTATTTTTTTTTACTTTAGAAAACTATCCCCATCTTATTTCCTTTTTATAATTGTTCAAATATTGATAAAAATAAACCTTTAGAATATCATAATAGGCTCGATAGGCCCCCCCCCTCAATTTTTTTTGATGATATCCCTCCAACTACTAGATATATGCATCTATTATTGACCCATCTACTGGTTTACAAATTTTAATGTTCGTTTTACTTCAATAATAATGTTTATTTATATTTTTGCCTGATTTATTTATTTGTCTAGGCTAACCCAACTGAAAGGAATTAGAATGGTGACGATATTGCGCGAGGTTCGAGTCAGTAAAAATATATTTTATTAACTAATTTCTTTTTCTTTTCTTAAGGTATATATTTACATTTTTATAAAATATAAATTAGAATATAAAACGAAATACAAAAAAGTAAAATAATATTAAAAAAGTAAGGTTACGCCGTTTATAAAATAAAATTAAACAAAATAAAATTTATATTGTAATAAATAATAAAATTAGAATAATGCGAGACCAATGATGATTACTTATTATTCTAATCCACGTAAGAAGAAAAGTTATTAAAAATTAAAATTTTATGCCAGGATAAAGGCATGTTATAAATTTTTAAAATCACTAAAATGTAAAATCATAATGGATATATTTGAACACACAAAAAGCCTTTAAAAAATTATTTACTTAAATTCTTA